GAATTCCATTATGCAATCTGAATTAATTTATAGCTGATATATATTTGAGATGCTAATACATATATGGAATCAAACATCTGACTATATATATTTTTTACATTGCAAGATAAGAGGAGTGGAAAATTTATCGGAAAAAAGCGCAGCTAGAACAATTTTCTCAATTGGAACAATGCCAGATTGAATGTTATTTGGAAAACAAGTGTAAATATCTCCTGTTGGAATTTTGGATTGATAAAGTTTATAATCAGAATTAACGTGTTGAAAGAAACATTCTGTAAAATTTTTGTAAAGTTAAATTAGGATCAACTGAATTTATTTAACTTCACAGCATATGTGTGAATACACACACACACACACACACACACATTTCGCAAAGCGATGACAAGACCTATTATTCACATAACGAAATCTTTGAATTTTATGTGAAGTATTATGAAATTAACATTGCGATAACATTCGAAACTATTCCACGTGAAATTAATTGTTATTAATTATTATTATTATGTCACGATCAAGAAATATTTTAGAAAAAGAAAAGATTTTCTTCTTTTTAATAGAAATGATGTGAAATTAAATCAAGACTGATACAATTTACGTGAAATATAAGCGAGGATTGTTTTATCAAAAATATAAATCGCGATAAGAGAGATTAATTGCAATCGCATGCGCGTTTAATTAGATATCAACGGTACATCGTGAGTTGCGAGCTCTGTACACAACGAGTTCAGAAATAGAACAGTGCAATAAGGTTTCAACGTCCGCTGATGTACCGTGGAAATATGCGATTGTAACAAACGCAGCGAGAAAAGTTACGATTGGCGAGCTTATTAACATGTTCAGCCTTCTGCAATTCACTTCAGTATATACTGCACGGACATCAGCCATACTTAGCGCGCGTTTAGCATGTTTCTGCAATGACGAAAGATTTGCGTCATATTCAGTCTAATTGAAACGTGAGGAACATCATAACCAATCTGTAATATCGAGTGCATCGTATTAAAATTAATATGCATCAAGCGTATGTATTTTTAGCATCTGAACGATAGACTCTGAAATACAAAATGAATTCTCAATACTCTCTAAATTCTTCTTTGGAGTGGAATTTCACTTTAAAGAGTGAAAATTGAGTTAATCTAAACAAGAGTTTATTACAAAAATGAGATTTCACTCTTCAAAGTGAGATTTAATCTACATACCTATTAGATTTTAGAGAGTATGCTTTGCAATTTATTTGTAGTTATGTACCAATTTAAGTTTGCTGATTTACATATTCATATACTTTGGGTATCTCCGAAAATCAACACACAGTGATAAATTATATTTCTTTTTTCATATTAATAATTAGTGATTATTTCAGCTTTTATTTCAATTGCTTTGATAATAACAACGTTGATTCAACGTTTATATTATTAATTTATGTTTCTCAAACATTTAAAAAGAAATTTTAATTATCAAAGAAACAATCATATAAGTTTAATCCTTTTTTTTTTTAACGAAAAACAAATAGGTCAATGTGTTATTATCTAAATACAATTAGACAATAACACATTGACCTATTTGTTTTTCGTTAAAAAAAAGGATTAAACTTATATGATTGTTTCTTTGATAACTAAAATTTCTTTTCCAACCTTGGAAATTATCTGACTGTAATTGACGTTCCTTCTATTTATCTTTTTTTTGTCGTTATCTCGTTAGAGTATGATAAAAAAAAGGATTATACATTGTGTGAGATATCGGTATACAAATAAATACATTAGGTGGTATCTATAATGTGTTGGATAATGGCGATGTGTATTGATGTTGCTCTCGAGTGGAGGAACCTCATATAATTTAGATGTCATCTCACCCGAGCTGCCACGTGCTGGATATATCAAACGCATCTGCCGTGAGGTCACCGCGCAACCTATAAACCAGAATTACGTTACTAGAGGGATGGCTTTATCGCGTTATAATAATTTCTAAAGGCCTGTGAATAGTTCCGCGAGAGAGAGCCGTTTTATAAAAGGTATTCAACACAGGATGCTATACATGTCAATGTCATGCGACGTGACATATTGGATCGTGCGTGGTCTCATTAGATTGTGCTTTTACAGCGCGAAAGACTCGGGGTATCGTGAAGAACAGCTGTTTGAAATTCCCGCTTCAAGGACGAAGCAATTCGAGCGATTCTGCTTCACAGACTGACCGCGAGAGGCACTGAGATCGAAGTAGATGCAAATTAAAGCTCAACCGGTGTACATTATTAAACTTAAATTATTTGAAATTGAATAAAAATTATCAATGCATCTTATTTTTTTTCGAAAACTTTTTTTGCTTAAAGCGAAATTATGAAAAAATATTTAAAACGTGAAATTATTGAAAGTACAATGAAATGAAGAATATTGAAACTGATGGAACTAGCGGGATGTTTTTATAAAAATAAGTATTACAATTAATAATTTTGACGAATTATTTGCAAATTAATAAACGTTTTAAAATTCGTTAAGATAATAACATGGTTGCATAGAAAATTTGTTAAAACAATTTCTTTAATGCCTTACATCGTAATTTAACAGAAACAGGAATCACATCTACATAATGATTAATTGATTACACAGAGTGTTTCAAAATTTGCAACTCAAAATACTACAGCAAGATAATTTTCACAAAGTTTAATAAAACGTTATATGTAAATTATTCTGAGTATTTTTGAGATAATAAGAGTTTAAATATAGCCAATTACAAACTATATTTAACCACATATACAATCGCGCGTACGGTAGTATTGGTGAGCGCTGATGAACTCGCACTTCAGTGCGATGACTATCTAAATGTAGAGTCTGTAATTAACGATATTTTTTTTAACTCTTATCAGAAATTATTAAACTTAAAATAAAAATTTACAAACTCTTTACTTAATTTTCAAAAACTTTCTTGCAACAATTTTCTTTCAACAGTATTTCTGTTCAACAGTATTTCTGAGTTGCGAATTTTAGGACACCTGTATACAAATCTATATTAATACTTTATCATTGCAAGATAACATTTGTAATCAAGGACAATTGATCAACGCGGCGTCTCATTCGAATATTTCATTTAGAAAATCGAATCAAATCACTTAACTGTTACTTTCCACAATAATTCATCCAGACTAAGACCATTTCTATCGTCGCATGAAAGAAATTATAATCGCGGAAATTGTAGATGAAGAAGAAAGGTAAAAAAGCAGAAAACAAGGGTGAACAAGATGACTCGAAATAAAGTACGAATAATCGGCATCGGCGCGGCGATTCGAACGGTTGGGCGCGCTCGCGACGGGCGCGGTATTTCCGGGGCTTGCGCAGAGCGACACGTCGATCGGCGTAGCGATACTCGGGCGCACACGCGCGCGCCTCGCGATTTGTGCCGCGGTCGAGCGAAGTCAGAGCGTAGGCCTGCGAAGGGGCACCACCGGCGTGACGCGGCGCGGCGAGATGAGGCGAGTGCAGGCGTGGTCCCCCTGTCGCTCGCTGGCGGACATGCCGTCCGGCCGGTATCCGCGAGATCGTCGGGAGAAAAAAGAAAAAATTCGACCGACACGCAGGGAGGAGGGGGGGGGGCCCTTGGAGCGAGGTGCAGGGCCGCCGGAGGGACTACTTGACGCGCGGAAGGACGCTGCGCGCACGCGCGCCACCAACCGGTGGCGGCCATCTTGCGCTCCAGTCAACGGCGGCGGCCGCCAGCAGCAACAGCAGCCAGTGGTCGTCAGTGCACGACAGCTCCGGGTACCCCTACGAAACCCACTCTTTCTCTCTGTCTCGCACGCGCGTCTACACACTGGTCGTATCGACGATACACATACCCGCGGCACACACGATCGCATCCTCGCGTCACTTACCGTCCATCACTTGCCCTCCCGTCGGCCGAATCCGCGTGGGAACTCGACGGACCGGCTCGCGCGTCCGAGCGTGTTCCTCTTTCTCTCGCACAGTGCCCTCCCGACTCGCGGCGTTTTAACGTGACACGTTACATCGGGGTCCTCTACTAGCCAGCATGTCGGCGCAAGTGCAGGGCACCCTCCTTGACGTGCTCAAGAAGAAGATGCGGCAGACGAAGGAGGAGATGGAAAAGTACAAGGACGAGTGCGAGGAGTACCAGAGGCGGCTGCAGGTGGAAGTGATGCGCCGCGAGGAAGTGAGTGAACCGAGAGATCGTCATGCTCCTTTTAGTGTCTTTTTTTTTTCTACCGTAAGCACACCGACCCTCGGAAAGTTTCCAAGCGCTTCCTTCGTCCGATCGTTCTCGCTCTCTCCGTCTCTCTCTTTTCTTCCTTCTCTTTCGTTCGCTCTTTCTTTCTCCTTCCCCCTCCCCCCCCCTCCTCCCTCCCGTCGCCGAGTCTCGCGATAATATCGTGACTTCGCGAGATATCAATTTCGGCAATAATCGACACGAAGCCGGCGATACACGAGAGCCACCATTCGCCTCGTACCGTCTACGCGATCGACCGCCGGACGATAACGGGAAGAGACCGAGGAGCGAAATTTCTTGCGAACAGGTTTCCAGACGGGATGCTTCATTGATCCGGATGCGGACTCTCCAGAATTGATTCAGGTGCGCGACTCCGAGAGGAAATCCGGAGAATTTCTAGCGCCGGATCTTCGCCGATTCTCCTCGCGTTTTCTCGATCGGCGCAATCGTGACGAGGAATGCGAGCGAAACGCTGGGGGCCGGCGTCCGCGATGGTTACAGAATCGATCGCGAGTGTCAGACACGTCGTCGTCGGCCGTCGCGTCGTCAGGCTGGGTCGCGACGGGGCGGACGAAGGGGGGGGGGAGGAGGGTCGAGAGCGCACACGCCGAGACATTCCTGATACACCGGCGAGGACCGGCTTCGTCGGAAACCACCGGCACGCCGCTGTCTCTCCAGAATCCTACATGTTGCAAGTCAAAATATTAACGTAACACGGAGCGCAGCGTGACCGACCGATTCGATCATTGCCGTATTCCTACTCCGACTCGATCTTCGTCACAGTCGACCTGACTGTGAACGAACCGGATGTCCGTGCGAACGATCTTTCGGGAACGAACGTTTGCAACGAACGTTCGTTGTTATCACATCGAGTCGAAATTCTCTCACATTGAGTTTCCGCAGTTAAGTGCGAATGAAAAATTTTAAAATTGATGCAATCAGGTTTTTATATGGACGACAGTGGAGCAATTCCGTCGTTAACTGAGTATTAATGAAACTTGAGTTGAAACGAACTTTTGTGTGTATATATAACAGGCTTGATCTCAGAAAGTTTCTTATAATAAAGTATTAATAGCTAGAGAAGTATTGTAGAAGATCTATTTTAAAAATTTATAAAGATTTAGTTATTTAAAGGTTTATTGTAAATATTTTATTCTCCACAGTATTCATTATAACAAACTTTTCGACAAAATTTTAGGACTACACCGTGTATTTGATTAATCAAATAATTTTTTATCTCACTGATAATTAATTATATAATTAAACGATAATTGGAGTAGTCTAATTTTAGCCCGATACTATTAATAATTGCGGTATCTTTACATCACGTTATAATAAACGCGAATTGTTTCGGCAAATCAATTACGTCTATTCGAAATGCAAATAATTAATATTATATATATGGATATATTATAATGCTAATAATTATAAATAAAATCATTAATAAATACTATCTATATATAAAGTTGTCTAATATTATCAATGATATTATCTATACATGTATCTGAATGTATCATTAGTTACTAGATATTTATATACAATATATATATATACACATATATATATATCTTGCATTGTTATTAAATATTTTTATATTTAATACTAGATACATGTAATATTAGTTGTCTTGGATAATATATACATATATATTCTTCCGAAAGTTTTTACTTGCACATGTAGCGTTACATGTACTGTATAAGTTGACGCAAATTAATATTAACAATGGATAAGCACAACTCGTAAATAAAATTGCAAAATGTATCCTAAAGAAACTACAATCTTCAGTAAATTTAATTATTAAGAAAAGAGAACTATGTTCTTTTCTGTAAGATTATTTCCAAAGCATTTTACAATTTACAATCAAGATACAATTGGCATGTAAAATTTTATTAAGTACATGTACGCTGTTCGTCTGTCATAAATCTAGCGTTATAAAACGCAAAAGTGCATTAAATCTTGGGTTTAAAATTCATCGGACAATAGCCTCTGTTATGCCTTAATCCGCTTTTCTTACCGTGAGACTACCTACCATATTCGGACAATTACTAGCCTATTCCATTCCGAGAAATTCCTTATACATTTATTTTATGATATACTTTTACACAGACAAAAAATCTGTTTATGTACGTAGAGCTATCTTTTCATTAATGCTTCTTTATTTAGGAAATCTTAGTTTATTACAATATAATTTAATATTATTTGAATATAATACCAAAAAGAGATTTACTGTTTTTTATCATTTAAAAATTAGATAAGAACACTGTTATCTTAACAAATTTTTTACAAACAGCAAATTATGTAACAATCCAACAATTTTACACAGAGATATACATATAATGCAATTTTTGAATCATAAACTGAAATTTGAAACATAATATTTTGCAATGGGCAGTTATATCATAGATATGATTATTTCGACGTCCAGAATTTTTCGCGACGAGGTGATGAGATCATTACGGATAGGGCTTGAAAGTTATAGCATATTAAGTCATTTTGCCTATTTACAGGCACGCTGACATACGTAAAACAGCTACGTATAGCAAATTGTGCACAAGTGAGGCAAGCCTCTCGGTGAGCGTTCATCAGCTGGATTTAACGGATTTACACCATAATCTTGACCGTTTCTCACTCCTTTTTCGCTGACAAACGGCGATGTAATGCGCATTCTTCGCTAAGGTACACGAACACCAGTCGTCGAGTGTCACGATTGGGTGATCCGCAAAATTGCTCTTAACAACAAGTGCGACATGTAAAAATAAAATTGTGGGATCGCGTGATTGAAATATTTACATTAGGAAGCGTACGAAAGCGTTTTTCAGCTTTAACAATTGAAGAATGTAGGTGAAGGACATTTTAAATTTGATTGATATAATTTGAATAAATTTAAACAATTGCTATTTTATAATTAAAAACAGGAAAGAATTCTTGTATTAAATATTTTTTTCTTGTATTAAATATTATTTAACATTTGAACGGAGGTTTTTTTCCGGTTGTTGATTGTGACTTTCTGAAATTACAACGTAACGAGTTAAACCGACCGAAAGTCCAAAGTTGTGCAATTGTCGTTTGGGTACAATGACACACAGTTATACGTAAATTAAGCGCTCTACCGTGAAATGCAGTGAATCACGAAAATATAAAGTAATTCATTAAATCGAAGTATTACGCTCTTTTGCCTTAAATCAGTATTATAACTTATTCAAAACCAGTTTAAATTAATTTATAGGAGATATATTTTTTTTTTTAGAATTAACAAACATTTTATTTCATTAATAGTATTTATCGATTGCTTATTGCAGTATACTTTGTGCTTGAGCAAATATTATTTCACAAAATATTAAAGTATTTCATGGACATTACATTAAGTACATAATACCAGTTTGAAGAGTAGAGATATTGAATATCTCAGTTATATCCTTTCTCCTTTTATACTATTAATATTTCACATTTATTTTTGGTTAAAATATTATTTGTGTAAAAAACGTCAAAAGTAACTTTTACAAATATTTGCATGGAACACCGGATATATCGTTTCTGTTGCGTGTAGAATGTAGATACATTTGTTTTGCTGTCAGACCGTATCGAAGAAGCCTCCCAACCGTTTCAATATCCTGTCGTACAAAATGCAATGGCAGGCGTTAGTATCGTAATTGGAAACACGAACGAAACTCAAGTATTTCATTATTACAGATTCATTAATTGCATAAGATTTAGATAACTCGTTATATTTTTATTACATTTTATGGATTGGCCAAGAAGATTAACAATGTTGCCTTTCAGTTTACGTTCTTATAATCCTCTAATTCATCTTTTTTTTTTTTTTTTTTTTCAAAGTTTTAGAGAGAATGTTGAACTGCGACAAAAAGTTGAAGACAAAATTACATCTGATAACATGACTACTTTTACAATCCTTCTGAGCTGCAAGACTGCATTTCCGCTTGGGATGACATAACGTATAAGCGGACGCTGCATTTTCCGGCGCAGTGATGAAAATCCACAAGAAAAATCCAATGCACATTCGCGACAGAGTGCACCCGATGCGCGCAATGCGTTTTAAAGGCCAACTGCGATGAACTCGATCAGGCCGCGCTAATACGCTTTTGTCACGAGGCAACGAAGTGCATTGCCGCAATTTTTCTGTTCTTTTCCTCCCTCTTTCCTTCTCGATTCCATTACGATGATAATAAGCGAGGAGCCGTTTCGCAAGTTGATTCAACGGGCTTATCGTTCAGACGGGAGGGGGACGTGAGGGTGCGATAAAGTCTTATTGATTTGTGCTCATCGATAGGCCGATCGATAGACGCGAAAATGATATCTCGGCCATCTCGGCAGATTAGGAATAGCCGTGTCTTTATTGCTAAGAAGTTTACATAACGAAATGTCGATGTCTTCCACTCGCCTTGAGCGAATTTATTTACAAACGAATGGCCGTCACGACTTACGTATGTCATGGATAGCGCACGAGCGATGCGAAACAATACAACCGCGGTTCTTTTCGGTTCAGGAAAGATTCACGCTTGATTACGTTTGCACTTCATAAAGGCAAATATTAGGAATAATTCTTAATGATGATTTTATGTTAGGATCTTATTCAATGGAATTCATAAAATTATTCCTGGTGCAAAAGAATAAAATACTTTCCTTTACATCTATAACTTGTATAATACATCTATACATTCCAATAAAGTTATTCGCAAAGGGCAGTATATTCCTTATAGATATTCTTC